TTGTCTTCTTTTTCTCTATCTTTATCTTTTTCTCTTCTTTTCTCTCTCTTTTTCGTTTCTCTTTTTCTCTCTCTTCTTCTTTCTCTCTCTTTATTTCTTTCTTTATCTCTTCCCTCTAATACACACAATAACAATCATTCTTTCCTTCTCCTCTTTCTCCCCTAAACCCTCATTAATTAATTAATTTATTTATTTATTTATTTAATTTATTTATTCATTTATTTGTTTATTTATTTATTTATTTATAGGTATTATGTAACTTAGAAGAATATGGCAATACTTCTGCTGCCTCTGTTCCTCTTTGCTTAACAGAAGCAGTAAGCAAATATATTTATTTATTTTATTTACTTATTTGTTTATTTATTTATTTATTTATTTATTTTATTTATTTATTTTATTTATTTTATTTATTTATTTTGTTTTATCATTGCTTTTTTTTTTTTTTCCCTTCTGCTTTTTCTTAGTGTTATTTGTTGTGTCTCTCCTCTTATTTATTATTTATTTATTTATTTATTTATTGTTTATTTATTTATTTATTTATTATTTATTTACTTATTGCAGGTAGAGGCAGGGAAGGTAAAGAAAGGAGATTTAATTGCTATGGCTGGATTTGGCGCTGGTCTTACATGGGCAGCAGCAGTTCTTCGTTATGGCTAGTTGCTGCTGCTGCTGCTGCTGCTGCTGCTGCTGTTGCTGTTGTTGTTGTTGTTGCTGCTGCTGTAGCAGTTCTGCAGCAGCAGCAGCAGCTCGTTTAATTACTGCAGCAGCAACATATACTTTATTTAGCCGCAGTAGTGCCAACAATGCCACCAGATCCTACAGCAGCAGCAGCAGCTGCTGCTGCTGCTGCTTCACCTGTTGTTGCTGCAGCAGCAACAACAGCTATACAGCAACAGCAGCAGCAGCAATAGCTGCTGCTGCTGCTGCAGTTGCTTCCTTTTAGCACGTTTGCAGCTCCGCTAGTCAAGTGGGGGCTGCGAGGGCATCCATAAGGAAATAAATAAATAAATAAATAAATAAATAAAATATTTAAATAAATAAATAAATAAATAACAATAAAAACAAGAGAGGCTATTTGTTATTTGTTCTTTGTCTTGTTGCCTCTAATTATATTCTTCCTTCTCTTTATTTGTCTTAATTATAATATATTATTCATCTAGGGTTTAGGGTTTAGGGTTTAGCCCTCCTTCCTGCATCCAGCTCTCTCTAAGATTATATTACTTCATTTACCTACGCATGCAGCCCTTGCATGCATGCATGCATGCATGCATGCATAATTAGCTAGCTGTAGTGTATAAAGAGGAGATAAGTAATTATTTTCTTTTTAACAAAATGGCGATTTACAAAAAAAAAATAAAATGGCGAATTTTATTTATTTATCTAGGGTACTAGTAGCTAGCTAGCTAGCTAGCTAATCAGGTAGCTAGCTATATATATAAATAGCTAGCTAGCTAGGTATATATATAGCTAGCTAACTGCGTTGGTAGTTAGCTAGCTGAATCGTACAGTTGGTGCGGTACCCATGTATGTATGACTAAGATAGTCTGTAGTTTGTGCTGTTGTTCCTGTTGCTGCTGCTTGTTGTGCTGCTGCAGCAGCAGCAGCTGCTGCTGCAGCTGCAGCAGAAGGAGGAGGAGGAGGATTAGAAGGAGGGAGCTCGAAGCGAATAAAGCCATTATTATTATTTGTCCATCTTTTTGCTATTTCTGCTGAATTTGCGCTCAGACTTGGCACCAATAATAATGCTAATATTAATACCTGCAGCAGCAGAGTATACACATGCATGCATGCATGCATGTATATTATATTGCATGCATAGTTGCATATGTGTGTATCTGCACATGTAAATGTATTCATGCATGCATGTATGTATGCATAACTACTCGCAGCATATTTGCATGCATGCATGCATGCATGCATGCATGCAGATTTGCATGCATTCTTACCTTAAGCCCCAATTCAATGACGCTTAAGACAGTAGATAAAATATGAACTCCTTCTTCTGCACTTGTTATAGCGAGCCATTCATGAGCAAACCAACGAGGTGCTGCAGCAAGAAAATAAAATAAAAGTTGCTGCTGCTGCTGTTGCTGCTGTTGCTGCTGCTGTTGGTTTATTTGTTTTAGTGAATAAAAGAAATAGACAAAAGATAAATGAATGCATTAATGGTGTCTTGTATCTTCTTTCTTTGCTTATAGTGACATAGCATGCATGCATGTATGCATGCATGCATATTGTTATAAAGAGGACATATGCTGTTAAGAGTTTTTCGGGTGTATAGGCAACTTACGCCAATATAACAAGTAGATGACGTCTTGTACACAAGAAAGCATCATATAAATTGCCATTGCTCGTTGCTGCCGCTGCACAGACACAACAGGAAAACGCATTCATGCATGCATGCATGCATGCAATCATAAAGGAGCTCCTCCTTTTTTATGTTTATATGGTGACGCCTTAGGGGTTAATAACGGCAACTCCTCATTATAATGAGGGAATCCTTCAATAAAAGACTTTAATTCTTGTAGTTTTGTTGACGTGCTGCTTACCTTTCTGCCTTCAGGTACATAGAAGAATGCCCACCATAAATACAAATAAAGAGGAAAATTATAATCAGGTCGTGAAATACAAGAAAATGCCGCTAAAATAGCGACAGTAAGCATCAAGCATTGCACGGCGTCACTTGCTGTCGCCATTTTCTTGCAAATAATAAAAAAACAGAAGAAATGTGCAAATAAATAAAACGACGGTTTCGGTAAAAACCCGAAAACGGCGGCAGAAGGACCACGGGCTGTATCTACTACATGAGGCGATCTTGATTGTCTTAATTAAAATAAAATCATCTAATTAATTTAAATTAAAAATAAATGAAATTTAAAAACGAATATTTGCACTCTGTGTGCAAAAATCCGTTTTTTTTTTTGCGCTTTCCATGCAAATATTCTTTACAGCTGGGGTCTGCGCAGCTCAGGTGTTTGTTGCCCGAGTTGTCTGTTGAGCCTTTTCAGGCTTAAAATGTTATAATTGAAATGTTTTTAAAGTAAAATCAACAAAAATTTACTTTATTTTAATTGAAATGCTGAAAAAAGAGGACTTTCCACCTTAGATCGTCAAGTGTTGTGCACCGCGCGGCCGACGAAGGCGAGTCGTTGAACGGCGGCGGCTCCGCCGGACACACCCCATGAAATAGACAACAATGCTTTTATTGCCCCTATTTTTATTGTTTTTTATTGAAAATCCATTTGTTTTCCTTTACATTTTTGCCTAGACCGCAGAAGGTAGATAATTACTGTATGTTCTGCCGTTAGACCGTCGAGCTCATTCATGACCGCCTCACAGAAGCCCACAATTTGAGGCCCTTCTTCTGTGGCATGCAATCACTAAGAAACCCAATAAAATAAATGCATTTATTCAGGTTAACCTATATACACGTTGTCTCATTTAATATGCAACTGTCTGCATATCTATACACTCTGACGAGAGCTCACCCTGCCCCCATTTGCTCTTACTGCTCGCCAACAGAATCTCAGGGACAAAACTCTACAGCAGCCCTGAAAGTTAGACTATAAAGCAAACAAAAGTTAATTATTACCTACACAACTACTTAAGGAGCACTCATCAGCAACTATTCACTTCTTATCTACTTAAACTTGTCTTTACCTTTACGAAGACCCGTCCAGAGCACCTGTAGCTGCCGATACAGTGGAAAACGAGTTTATATTGTGAATATCGTGTGATTGTCTGTAAATTCTGCTGTTACTGGATTCCTACCCCTAATTATTTACACGTTAGATATACGCATTCTCGTTTTGGCTCTCCCTCTTCCCCTACAACTCTCTACCTTGGAGGGAAACGAACAGAAAAAATCATTTAGGAGGAAAATGATTTTTATACACTTAAACAGCTGTGAAGTTCAAAAGCAGCACACGGGTGCTGATTTAGGCGGGTGTCAGTGCCAGAAAAAAGACAAATATAATAACCCGCGGAAAGAATTTCTTCTCGGTTAATGGGTTTCGTACTCCCCCCACACGAGAAAAAATAATGTATGTATATATATGTATATATATAACAAGCGCATTAATACGCATTAAATAAAACATATATAGAAAGGGCAATTATTACGGCACCATTGACTCATTGTCCTGCCTGTATAATTCTTAGGCGTCTATAACTGGAACGCACTGCCCTGCTGTAAGATCATCGAAGCTGTATAGGGATAAGTGGAACGTTTCTGCAATTCCTCTATGTAGTACTTTTCCTTGTGCTATAGCTAGCCCTTTATATAGGGGTTTAGATTGCATACATGCATCTCTCCATCCGGAATTTGCAAGATGAAGCACATAAGGCAATGTAGCATTTGTAAGAGCAGCAGTTGCTGTTACAGGTACAGCTCCAGGCATATTAGTAACACCGTAATGTAGTATGCCGTCAATGGTGTATGTAGGATTCTCATGAGATGTTGGCCTACTTGTCTCACAACAACCTCCATGATCAACTGCTACATCAACAATAACACTACCACTCTTCATCTTCTTTAGATGCTCGCGTAACAATACTTTAGGAGTACGACGCCCAGGAAGAAGAACTGCCCCCACTACCAAGTCTGCTGTGGGTAATTCCTCTAACAAAGTTGCCTCTGTGCAGAACCGAGTTGTACAATTGCGAGGGAGGATGTCGTCCTGCAAACAAAAAAGAATATCCATTAATTTTATGCAGTTAAATGTGATTAAATTGGGCGGGGGAGTGAAGATACTCTAGATGCATGCAAAGGAAACTTACACATTCACATCTGTCATTCTGGGTTTATAGGCACCTTCATGAAGTTAGTCACCGTAACAAGTCTTCTAGTAATTAATGGTAAACATACTATAACTACGTGGGAAATATACGGACAGGCAGATTGTAAGCATAAGGGTATGGTATCCATCACAGGTAGCTAGGATCTATGTTGACAAATATGTCCAACATATGCATATATATATATATATATATATATATAT